AGCTGTTCTGGCCAGAGACCCTAGTATACCTGCTGCCTGGTGCGGAATTGAACCAGATGCTGACTCTGGTGGTGGCAATCAAATCAGAAATGCGTTGTGAACCGAACCGGAGCTGCTGCTGTTTACTGGAATGAACGATCACTTGCATGCGGCTGGGCTTCTGGAGCATCTGAAAAGTGATGCACCGGTGCCCAAGATGGTCTGAGAAGCTATCCAGACATTGTTTGCGGCGATAAATGAGGTGCAAGAGAATGTGACTACTCGATTCGGAGCCAAGACAAAAGTAGCGTTTACAACTTCACCGGGCTACGCAAGCATGCCGCCGGCTTTGCAATTTGTAAACGCTATCTTGATCCTCATAGCGGAGGGGAACGAGTGGCGGGTGTTGATGGCAGCCCCTAATTGAGAGCTGGAACCTACGAACTTGAGACTTCTGAAGTCGGAATTGGCAGCGGCATGGGCGGACGTATCTCATGCCTTGAGGGGATTCTACGATCTGGCAGACAACCTCATTGTGATGGACGAGGTCCTATTACTTGAGATTTCGAAATTTGCTTGACAATTGAAGTTAAGTCCGGACAGAGGGGATGATCACCCAATAATAAGCCACCTAACAGCCAGCCTGTGGTTCCGAGGTATGGATCTGACAATCACAAGCTCCACCGGCAAGGCGAGGGGACCAAGCAATGAAAGGAGAAATGTGGCTGCAGCCGAGAAGCAATTAGAAGCGATGGCATACCGTCTGACACAAGAGAGAGGCAGGTGGCCGTTACTGACCCCAAGGCTCAAGAATGCTATAGACAAGACGCGGGAGAATGCTCCACCTCTCGTCAAGCAGATATGGGAGTTTCTTGAGGGGCAGCTGGAGGTGGCAGAGAGCAAGGAGATGACGGTGGGGAGATTCGTCACAGCGGCCAACGAGTTCACCTTCGATGGCTTCTGGAGAGAGCATGCCAGAGACGAGCTGAGAACGAGGAAAGATCACGAAATCCTGAGATTCTTGAGTCCTTGTTAGGAGAAGAAGTACATGGCTAAAGTGTTCTACGCAAAGGACACCATCTTTGAAGCCTTTGTGCAAGAGCTAATTAATATGCCTATAAATCTCTTGCTGGCTTTGTAATTGGTTTATCTCAGGTACCTGTTTAACATGGGTCCAGCATACATGTTCAGCAGAGGAGTAGAGACGCTTCGGGTTGACGGGTACCTGGCGCATGTGCTCTTGACTTATGGTGAATTGGTGGCATTTAATCAGTTGATGAATTATGGGGAGCCCATGGGGAAGAGGCAAATGGTGGTATCCCTCTGCTGACTGACCTGTGCTTGGCCATGAAATCTGATCCGTTGGGAGTGATCAGGGGGCTTGAGGAGGTCGTAACCTGTATCTACGGGCCAGCGGTGATGTATGCCATTCCGGATCCTCTCGTGGCGGCATATCGCAATTCAGTGGTGCACGTGAGCCTCATAAGCGTACTAAATGGGACGGCGTTGAATTGGTGCCGACACGAGGTGCTGAGGGCACGGATAAGTGATACAGTGCTCTTCGGGAAGATAAAGGATCCCGAGTTAATGGTGTCTAATTTCCGGGGACAGCTACAATGCAGAATGGGGGGAGCGTGAAGGTCCCATTGAAACTTACCCCAAGTTTTAGAAATTGAATCCTTTAACGGCAGATAGGAGAGAAATCTTGAGAATCCCAGCGTGGAAGGGGAGCTTCGAGTTGGTGAAAAAGGAGCAAGAGATGACTCTGGAGAAGGAAATTTTGCCCACCGTAGTCCCCGAGTTCCCGACAGTCAGGAGAATGACCCTGGGGATGAATAGCCCTCTGGTAGTCCCATCCTGGGACGCCAGAGCTGCAGTGGAAAAGCAGCAGAGGGAGTTCACCGATGGCTGCGATCCCGTGTTTGCCGGATATACAGCAGCAGTTTATTTCCACACGTGCGATATTAAGATAAACTCGTGGACAACACAGGCAAAAAAGATGAGGGGCCCAATGCCTCCAAAGTTCGAGGTTCAGGACATCTTGTGAACGCTCGATCAAATGTATCTGGAGAACATATTGCAGATTTGGGATGATGGAAGAATGGTTGTGGAGGAAGGACACATAGCCTTGAAAGATGAGATCAAGATCGCCACGAGAAAGTACCGGGCGCCCTACGGACTATAGCAAGTGGAACTGAAGCAAGAAGAGAAAAAGCTGGACGCAGCGGGCTCCTTGTATGTAGCCCTGACGGAATACAAAAAGTAGGACCCAGCTACACCCTCACCCCTGTCAGTGGGCACCCCAGGAGATAAGAGAAGCGGTCCCGTGGAGACGAGGTTTAGAGACGTGCTTGAGAGAAGGCGAGCTGAGTGAGAAGGGAAGAGCATGGATGAGACTCTCAGAGAAGCAGGAGAAGAGATGGAGATGGGAAACACACCCGAGCCGCAACCAGCGGAGAAGGATTTTACCACTCAGGAACTGCTGCAAGACTTGAGTGAAGACTATTGGGCGAACACGGCTACACCACCCCTGACGTCATCCCCTCGACAAAACCTGGAGCTACCCTTGAGCAGCGAGACCTCCAAAATGGGGATGATTCTCTTGAGTGCCAAAGAGAGTAAGAAGAATGCCTTCGAGGGCAATAAATGGATCTTATTGAGTACGCTGGATGAGAAGATGTGGCTAGAATTCTTGAGTGAATTTAACCAGAAAGAAGGGACCGACCACACACTGGAGAGTTTCAAAGAAGAACTATGGGACACAGTGGTGATGTTCGGGGAACCAGTTCTGATGGGCACCGGACTGGATGAAAAGGCGAGAAAAGAGTTGTTGGACAAGATGATTAAGCTGCGAGAAACAGAGCAGAAAACCAAAGATGATGAACGTAAAGACAGCTCTTCTCTGGAACAACAAACTGACAATAAAATGATAAAAGTGAGAAGGAAGGAAAAGGGCTCGAGTGTGAACTCGGATAAAATCTGAGGTCACAAAGAAGAAATTTTAACGAAACGAAGTATTGTTATTAATATGCTATAATTTTTATATAACTCGAAATGCTGCAAGACAATTTTCCGATTGGATAGGACAAAATAGTTTTTAATCATCAGCTTCAAAAGCGGAGGTTTAGGGTGCAGGTATATGCAATTTTCGAACGCTGTTCAGCGATAGTGTGGCATATTTATATGGTTGTGAATTTTGGGGTGTAGATAAAGATAAAATCTGCTTCAAACTTCTGTAAATGACCACTGGCACTGTATCTTGAGCAACACTCAGCAATCCGGGGACTCACTGGCAGACGGCATCACGCGATGAGGACATCGAATTTGAGTCCCGGGAGTATGTGCCATTCGGTCATTTTTGGAAGTTTGACCTTGAGAAATACGAACAACGTAATTTTGGGGTGAAATGTAATTTTTCAAAAATTCGAACTGAGACTGTCATGCTCAACTTTCTCGCGACAACTGAAAATCTCAGAAATGCAAGATCAGAACAACCGAACTACCATCGCGGGAAAGTAGTTGAAAAACGTAGCGGCAAATTGCTATTCGCAATTTCCAGATGTAAATCAAACAAGAGTAGAGCTGTCCTATCCTGAAATAGGAAACAGAACGATTGCGAAAGAAGAAATCATTTATTCGAAGTGGACCAGAGTGACCCTTCGGTAGAAAGGTGGACAACCAAAGTCTCCCAATGGTCCAACCAAAACCTTTGGTTCTCAAGTGAAAACTCTTTTCCCTTGCTGGAATTTATTAATAGCAAAACTCTCAAGTTTTTATGCTAGAGTCGCTCGTTAATTTATTTACTCCAATTCTCGAGTGTGCTGGTATGTGAGTACCCAATTTGGTTTTCTTGAGTGTGTTAAATAATTGTTATGTTGAGGTAAGGAGAGTTTAGGTTGATCCGTCTGAAATGGATCAAAGTTCCACCGTCTATTAAAAAGTAACTGTACTTACTGTTCAGAACCTGTTTTAATTGCGATCGCGTATTTTCGGTATTTTGAGACCTAAGTATGGGGACGTTCTTATTTTCTAGAGTGGGGGAGGGAGTATTTTGGTAGTGGCTTTTAAGCTGTAACTATGGTTTTAGTCTCATTACATAAGTGAACCGAATTGGTAGATAAACACAAGAGACAGTGTCCCTGACTCATGAGCCGATGGTTATAGGGAATATTTTTCTTTAACCTCATATGTTACTTAAGTAGGCGACTATTACAAGTGCAATCATTTGAACAAAGATAGAGATTCAATTAATAATGGATTTTTTTTTTCAACTAATAGCTTTTGAAGTGCAGGGTGCCGCCGGCCTTAGCAAAGATTTTTCTGAATAATTTTTGTAAGAACTTGTGCACGTGTACCGAGGAACTCAGTGCAGGTAGTTTTCTCAAGCACGCTGCGAACGCTGCCTGTGTACTCGGCACGATTAATGATAAAAACTACTTTCGAAGAAAGTTTCTATTATGCAAGCCAAGGGAACAAAGCGCAGCTTTATATAAGTATATGATAGACCCGCAGCCTCATATCAGGTCAGTCTTTTTGAGTCACTTTCAACTCCGGTTTTCTGTGCAGGTGTTAGTTTCAACTCCGGTTTTCTGTGCAGGTGTTAGTTTCAACTCCGGTTTTCTATGCAGGTGTTAGTTTTCTCAATTTGGTTGGCTTGATTCCCAGTAATTTGACTCTCTTTGATTCTATCCATATTATACTTTAAGCTTCCATATCTAGAAAATTCCGAGGATTTTGACTGGATAATGTGATGTAGGGACTGTTGAAGCCTAAAAAAACTTTTCAGCTTTCTACTTGAACTAAATCTACAATTGAACTGATTTACTTATTTAAAACCGCATTTTTACAAAAATCAATTGACTTCTATCTATAACTCGTGAAATATTTACACTCTTTGCGAATCACTAGTTTTATTCAGTCTGATTGGTGATTTTTCATTTCCCAACTTTTGCTGCACAACATTTTTGTGCAACGCGACTCACGAACGAACCAAAGATTAGAAACAAAGAGGAAAGTTAAAAATGTCATCACCTGCTAGTGACATGAGCAACGTGACGCTCACTCTTCCTGCTTTGAAGCGATCAAGAAGTGCTAACATCGGTGTCATTACCCGATCGGAAAATGCCGTCTCAGCAATCTTCAACAAAGAGGCATCTGCTCTAACCTACAAGGAAATTGGAACTCTCAAGGCCAATCTCACGATGTGCGAACGAAAGAAAAAGGAACTGGAAGAGCTTAATCAGCAAATTTCAAATGTTCTAAACGATGATGAAGATGCACTTGAAGTTGAATTGGAAGAAGCTGAGAAAATCTACCTTCAAATAAATTGTTTGATGGAAATGATCACAACTATGTTAGATGACCGAGGAAAACATTCAGCTGAATCGGTCAAAGATGACGACTGCGCAAGCGGAACAGGATCCTACAAATCCACTTCCCAACGTGGTGCTGGCCGAAACCAAGATACTTGCCTGAAGTTGCCGAAACTGAATTCGCCAACATTTAGCGGAAGGTATGATCAATGGCTACCTTTCTTAGATTCCTTTGATGGAGCAGTTCACTCAAATGCATCGCTCTCTGATGTTCAGAAACTGCAATACCTAAAAGGTGCCCTCAAGGATGAACCGTTCCGTTTGCTATCCCACTTGCCTATTACAAACGCGAACTACTCAGTCGCAAGGGAACTTCTAAAGGATCGATATGCTGATGTCAAGATGATCTCACACGCTCACTTGGAAGCAATTTTTGAATTCACTCCAATGAAGCATGAGTCATCCGCTGCAATACGTCGCTTGATTAACACCTGCACGGAAAACACGATGGCACTGACAGGACTTGGACTAAAAATTGATCAATGCGATTTGATCTGGGTTCACGTTTTGGCCAAGAAATTAGATCCTGAAACTAGAAGACAATGGGAATTTTCCTGCGCGGGAAGTGACATGCCAAAAATCAAGAAGATGAAGAAGTTCTTGGAAAAACGATCTCGCGCCCTAGAAGCAACGAAGGACCTCCAGTTACCTTCAATTCATAGAAAAAATCATCAAGGAAGTTCAGACCAATCTGGAAACTCTAAGAAAGATGACAAGGTACAGACATACCACACGAACTCTGCTAAGACGATCATCTGCCCATGCTGCAGTGGTGATCACCGCGTGTATCAATGCACAAAAATTCAGGAAATGTCTATTTCCAATAGAAGACAAGAAGCCAAATCAAAGCGATTATGCTTCAATTGCCTGTCCCTTGGACACCAAAATCATGAGTGCAAGTCGAAGTCAACGTGCCAAACCTGTCGAAAGGGTCATCACACGTTACTTCACATCCATACAGACCCAAACAAGCAACCAGGACCTGAAAATAAGTTTGCGGGTCATGGGGGTACTACCAGTGCCACTACCATACCGGGAACTGTACTAATTGAGGTGAAAACTGCAAATGGCGGTTATCACAATTGTCGAGCCTTACTGGACAGCGGATCTGAATGCAGTTTCGTTACAACCAGCTGTGCTAACCGACTCAAGCTACCAATCAAGAAATTGACTCTTCAACTATCTCGAGTTGGCGGAGGAGCAAAAACTGTGAAATCTGTTTCTGTCAATCTGGAAACAAAGGATTCTCAGAATCAATCTCTACATATTGAAGCCTTTACTCTTCAAAAACTTTCTGGCTACCTGCCCAGAGAACGGGTGAATATACCGAACAGTTTGGATATCACAGGTCTTAAGCTCTCGGACCCAGACTTTGACAAACCACAGGAAATCGATATAATCCTAGGCTGTGATGTCTACAACGACATTGTTGGCTGCGAAAAGATTAAGCTTACAGACAAGCTTTATGCACGTGACACTCTATTTGGTTGGATGATTAGCGGCAGAACACCCGGTCCTCCAACAACCTTCTTCAAGTCATTTCATGTGTCTATTGACGATAGTCTAAGGAAATTTTGGGAACTAGAAGAAATTCCTGATTTCAAAAAGACAACAACAGAAGAAGATCGATGTGAATCTCACTTTAAGGAAACAACCATACTACAAAATGGACGACTCACCGTGCAGCTGCCTTTCAAGCCCAATAGTCAACTTGGCGACAGTTTAGCACAAGCAAAACGCAGATTCAATTCTCTCGAGCGACGACTGGAACAGAATCCAGAACTAAAAGATCGCTATACCGCATTCATAGACGAATTTCTTGATATGGGGCATATGGAGTACATACCACCTGGAGAAATTGAAAAGCCAGTTGATAGCGTATATTATCTGCCACATCACTGCGTTTTCAAGGAAGATTCTACTACCACAAAGCTACGTGTAGTTTTCGACGGATCTGCAACAACATCAACCGGACAATCACTCAACGACACTTTGATGGTTGGTCCCACGGTACAAGACGACCTCTACTCGATAATCATGCGCTTCAGGTTCTACCCAATTGCTTTGTCAGCAGATATCGCAAAAATGTACCGACAAGTTGCTCTAGAGGACAAATCGAAGGATTTCCATCGCATACTTTGGAGATCAAATAAATCGGATGAAATCAAGCATCTCAGGATGACACGTGTTACATATGGAATAGTTTCGTCAGCGTTTTACTCAACAAGATGCCTCAATGAAGTAGCAAATCAATCTAAGAACCCAATGATCAAAGAAAGTCTCAAAAATTGTTTCTATATAGACGACTTTCTTGGTGGCGCTAATGATAAGCATGAAGCAGAAAGACTCATCTCTGTTTTATGCGAAGAGCTGAACTCTTATGAATTCCCTCTACGAAAATGGACTTCAAGCAATGCTAAAATAATTGAAGGATTGCCAGAACATCTCCGCGAAAAATCGGATGTGCTGGAACTTTTCTCTGACGAATACAAAATCAAGGCGCTAGGAGTCAGTAGGAAGCCCAATAAGGACATCTTTTGTTTTTCAACTGCCTTACCAGAGCTGAAACTGCTGACAAAGAGGACTCTTCTGTCCACAGTTTCAAAATTGTTTGATCCGATGGTATGGCTAGCTCCATTCATCATCAATTTCAAATGTCTCATGCAACAGCTATGGGTCCAAGGTTTTGATTGGGATTCTGAAGTAAATCAGAAAACCAAGGAAAAATGGTATGAGCTCACCGGAACATTGCCTCAACTACTGGAACTATAGATACCAAGATCTATGAGCTCACATCCAATAAAGGAGGTTCAACTTCACGTATTCTTTGATGCTTCCGAAAAAGCATATGCAGCCGCAATCTATGGAAGAATTACCAATGATGATGGCAAAACTTTTGCGTATCTACTGACCTCCAAAACAAAGGTTGCTCCGGTCAAAGCAATCTCTGTTCCCAAATTAGAGCTCTGCGGTGCAAGTTTAGCTACCAAACTTCTTAAATCAGTTCATTCAATTTTGAGGAAAACAAATCTCAAGATAACTTCACACGCCTGGACTGATTCAACAATTGTCTTGCAATGGCTTGCTCAACTTCCAAGAACGTGGAACACTTTTGTTGCAAACAGAGTTTCACAAATACAAGAGACCCTACCCAGAAGTGATTGGAAACACGTGTCAACAGCAGTAAATCCAGCTGATTTAGCCTCTCGTGGTGTATTAGCTGACACATTAATATCTTCCTCACTCTGGTGGAATGGACCAGATTGGCTGACCAAGGATGAAAGGCACTGGCCCAACCTACAACTATCTCTAGTTGAAGCACCTGAAAAACGAACCGTCAAAGCCAAGACTAATGCAGAAAGTGAACAAATTCGAACTGTTCTCGCAAATCATGCTCAAAACGAAATGACGGATGGAATTTTTCGTTTAAAGGACTACAGCACTTGGAACAAGACAGTACGCATCGCATGCTATGTACTATCATTTGTTCAACATCTTAAGCATAGAATATCGACAAACTATCGGAAGCGGCTCAGATCTAAGCGGACATCTGATGTACAACTTGAAGAAGATTGTCTTAGTTCTAAAAATAGAATCATGGCAAAAATGCTAATTCTTCGTTTAGACCAAGAAATAAACTTCAAATCAGAGCTAAATTGTCTGAAGGTGAAAAGGGAGCTGAGTAAAACATCGAATCTACTCAATCTTAGTCCGTTTTTCGACAAGGATTACGATCTACTAAGAGTTGGAGGCAGACTTTCACAATCGAACTACCCAACAGACAAGAATTTTCCAATGCTCGTTTCAAAAAAATCTGATTTAGTATCCCTACTTATACGCAAATATCATGAAGATACTCTTCATGGCGGGGGGCAATTAGTACTGAACACAATGAGAGAGGAAATTTGGATAATCGGAGGCCGTGATCTAGTTCGACAGTTCATTAGAAGATGCATGAGATGTGTCCGATTTAGTCAGCAACCTACTTCTCAATTCATGGCTGATCTTCCTACAGAAAGAATAACAACCGCAAAACCATTTGCTCAATGTGGAATAGACTTTGCTGGTCCCTTTGAAAATAAGGAAGCAGAGGTCTCAAAAATTTATGTTGCCGTCTTTGTTTGTCTCGCGACAAAAGCTATTCATTTGGAAATGGTTACTCGTCTAACCAAAGAAGCATGCATCCTTTCATTGAAACGATTTACTGCACGCCGTGGCAAACCTGAGAAGATCTTAAGTGACAATGGAAGCAATTTTATCGGGGCTCGAAATGATCTGATCAAAATCAAGGAACTGCTCGACAAAAATGGAACGGACAAATCAGTTGTTAGTTTCGTCAATAGCCAAGGAACTGAATGGGTCACCATCCCTCCTCGTGCTCCTCACTTCGGAGGACTCTGGGAAGCAGCTGTAAAAAGTATGAAAAGACATATGCGAAAAGTTATAGGACTGCAACGTCTCAGTTTTGAAGAATTTCTTACAATTCTTAATCAAATTGAAGCTGTCTTAAATTCACGACCATTGTATCCAATGTCAAGTGATCCTAACGACCCAACTCCGCTGACACCCACTCATTTTCTGATAGGGGAATCATTGCTAACTCTTCCCTCTGCGGACATCCAAGTTTCAACCATTGTACGATATCGACTATTACAGAATATGATCAAGGATTTCTGGAAAGTTTGGAAAAGGGATTATCTCATAACGCTACAAATACGGAAAAAATGGTTCACGGATGGCCCAGAATTCAAAGTTGGCAACCTAGTCCTACTTGCCGAAGACAATGAACGACCGCTAGAATGGAAAACTGGACGAATCATAGAAATTTATCCTGGAAATGACTCAATTGTTCGAGTGGTAAAAGTGAAGACCACAACTGGTGAATACGTACGCCCAGTCGCGAAGCTGCGGAAGCTACCAGTATAGCAACCAAGTCATATCCAATGTGCAGTTTATTTAAAACAAGAACTTTATAGTGCTAAAAAACCGAAAAATTTCAAAAATGTGCAGTTTTCAAATTTTAAGAGGTAGTACCCCCATGACCCTTTTGAGAGTAGGAACCTAAATTACCCCCTATGCAATGCATTATGGTCTGAATCATTCATATTGACCACTTTCATGTAAATTCCCAATGTTGTATGTTCATAAAAGTTGAAAATTATGTAAATTTTCATCAATTTTTGTGCAAAATCGTGCATTAAAATTCGTATGAGGTTGTACCCTCATGACCCAAAATAGAATTATTGTCTGAAAACAACTAGGATACGCCTACACTACTGTCTTGAATGTAACAATAGGCTCTCTGATCACGTCAACTATTAAAATGTTATATTTGCCTTTAAATTATATTCAAAGATGTCGTATTGTAATGATTTACAACCATTAATTCGCATAAAATGTTTTTTCTAAGTACACAAACTTTCGCTCATGACTCGTACCGTTAATACTTCTCTTGTATACTCCTTACTTATGGTGCAGTCACATTTAGTTCATTTATTGAATAACTGTTAACATATTTACCGTTGAACAGTCATTCGCTGTCATCTGGTCCTCTTCGCTTGTTGACCCTGCAGTGTTGCTGGCAGCGCTTCCACGCAGATGCTACCAAGGAAAGTCGAGTTTGCATCTCCGCATAGTACATACAGCAGACCCTCTCTTCGTCGCAGAGAGTCAGAACTGCATGGCACCACGCATATGGAAGATACAAACTTTTCCCCTCCTCAAGAACACCATAGCGGATCAGTTTCTTCTGCCGAGGACCAAGGTTCCTCAGATACTTAGCAGCATCAGTGAACCCCATCTCCAAATCATTGCTACCGGCCAGGCGCTCGAGTTCACCAAAGAGATTAACTTCAGATGTCATCAGCCACAACTTTCGGCCCCCAGAAGACACAAAACAGCATCATCTTCCTCATCCAAGTCTTGATGGAAAGTCCGGAAGGACGAGGACTCTACAAAAATACCTTGGAGAAGTGAAGAAAAGACCTGCTTCGGCCATCTGGTCTGACCTCCAGACATGACGCCAATAACACCCTTAGCTGTCACACTAGGAGTCTCTCGACAGTTAACTCCAACCTCCCAGCCAGTGAACAATGACCCTTCTACGTTGAGGTCACTGGTACGTTTAAGACCTCTAAGTTGCTTCTAAAACAAAACAAACAATTGATGCACACCCGCTATACTCTACTACTATGATACAATTGAATAAATGCTACTCACAGTCTCAGCTTTCGGAAACCGCAGAACTGCCCTATCCACGATTGCAGCTTCCTTCCTTGAAGACTGGATCTCATCCAACGACTTTACAGGAATCGGAGTGAAACCCAGATCTCCTCTGGTCACTGCATCGAAGAAACCCTGCAGGTCCTCCCGGTCGACAGCGCCCCGCCTACTGGACCTTCGCACCTCGCCATGTGGAGGCAGACGTGGTGCTCTTCCCGACTCCGCCCTGCTCTTTCTCTCCTTTGTCTCGTGCACCGTGAATGGATAGTCGTAACCAGACATAATAACGATCTGAAAATTGAAGATACTTCAAGGGAGGCGGAATGTTGAAGCCTAAAAAAGACATTTCAGCTTTCTACTTGAACTAAATCTACGATTGAACTGATTTACTTATTTAAAACCGCATTTTTTCACAAAAATCAATTGACTTCTATCTATAACTCGTGAAATAATTTACACTCTTTGCGAATCACTAGTTTTATTCAGTCGGATTGGTGATTTTTCATTTCCCAACTTTTGCTGCATAACAGGGACTGCTGACTGTAACCTCGGTGTTTATGATACTTTCGACCTTCTGACCTTTTGAATAAAAGAGGTGAAAGAAACTGAAAAACACAAACAGCGTAAATGCAATAATCGAGGAAGGTTGACTTAGATTGAGTTTGTCAGATGCCACCAAAATTGACCAGAATTCTGAAATTATTTGAGCACATATTTAGCGTTGACTTTTCGCGTGAGTTTTTGTGGCTGGTTAATGAGCGAGTGTCAAAATTAGTGTCACTTATTTCTTGTATAAGCGCATTGTGTCATTCGAGTGGTTTCGCAAAAATATGTTATTTTTCAGACTTATGATGAATCATTAATCTCCAATTAGTCATTAGAGTAGGCTAATTAATAAATATGACGGTCGGTGGTCAAAGCGGGGTCATCGGTGCATCAAACGAGGATTCCAACCATAGTTCAAGCTCGCAACCCACTAACTCAATAACTGGAAGCACTAGCATATCAGAGGGCGAGAATAGTCGAAATGGAACAGGTGAAGAAAATAGCGCCAGTGATACCCAGAGTTTGACAGCAGACCAAAGTGCTCAACGAGTTAGTTTGGTTTTTATGTTTTTGTCACCTCCAAAACTTAGGCCTTAGTAAGCTTTTTCGGAGTGATTTCATTAAATTAAATTTTAAAACCAAATTGAGATATTTAGATCCTGATCTAGTTTAGGAGAGTAAAGGTGATTAACTGGATTTTTTTTGCCGTAAACTATTTCTGTTTTACAAATCTGGAGGACATTGAACTTGCTTTATTATGGACCTTTAACAATTTTCAGGATAATGTCCACTTGGTTTAGAGCTAACATGATTGCCCTTTTACCCTAATTTCGGGGGTTCGAGTGCCGTTCGGAGCCTTTTTTTGGTATTTGTTACCCTTGCGATAAGCAAGGGTATTGCAATCGAATGCTAGTCTTTTTCCCCTGCAAACAACTTTGTGCACAGATTTCAGCATGCATGCAGTACATGACATGCATACAGTATGTGCGTGTCTTTGCGCTCATTGGTCGATTACCAAATGTGCATCCCTATTAGGGGTTTTCCATAAATTCGCTGTTCAATTTTTGTTATTGATATTGCTTTGGTATTTTTTAAATTTTCGACTTAGTCGCTTTCGGTTTATTTTTGTCGGCTTAGTTTCCGCTTTGTGTTTACCATCCGTCTATTTGAATGTTAGTCATAGAGGCTAGCATGCTAGATAAATTTTTTGTTGAACAGTTTGATGGTTCTGTTTTTAGACCACTTTCCCGTTTTTTCCATTTTCCAAGTGGCCAAAAATGTGTCTTTTCGACTTTTCTCAAATTGGGCAAGGTTTTAGGCTTTGATCATCTGAACCTTTTCCAAGAGGCTTATAGAAAGTGTAAAGTAGTTTAATTAAACTGGCGCCTGTTTTTTTTTATTTGATTTTTCGAAAAATCGATTTTTTTTTCATTTTCAACTAACTTTTTTGATCAAAAACTTTCAAACTTTTAAAAATGATAAAAAGTTACTTTTGATGACGTATTTGAGCGTAGCATAGGCAATTTAGTCCGTATAGAGTATTTGGTTGTCCAAATCCGATAAAAATTGTAGATTTTATTACTTTTTCTTTTCACCTTATATAATGCTTCACTACTACAAATACTACTACAAAATTTCACGAAACCTGATATTGTTCTTAGAAACCTTCCTGAATTTTTTCATGCGGGTGTGAATTGACAAAATATTGGCAGTTTTTTAATGCTACTTCTGATGGTTTTTTTTGAGACCCTTTTTCTCAATTTTTCCACCTTTTTCAGTTGACCAAAAGGTGTTTTAAACAAGTTTTCTGAAAATGGGTGATTTCTAAGTCTTTGGCCATCGAAAACTATTCTGAACAAGTTCATAGAGTGTGATTATGTGAATTAACTTGGTTGGAACAACTTCTTCGTATTTTTAAAAAAAAAAAGATTTTTCTCGTTTCTGACTCAACATTTTTAAATCAAAAAAATAAAATGTTTAAATGTGACAAAGAATAAGTTTTGATAGTGTATTTGAACTCCCCCTAGTCGATATAGTGGGTATAGAGTATTTAATTGTCGAAATTATACGAAAAATTGTAGATTGTACAAGTTTTCAAATTGGATCCTATAAAGGCTACTACAAGTACTGAGGAATTTTCTAAATTTTTATTAATTTCTTAAACTCACTCTTGAGGTTGTTTTATGCTTTTGCTTGCAGCGCTGAATTGAATTGGCACCATTTTTGAAAAATCACATTAGGTTGAACCTCAAAAGTGACCAAATTGACGTGTTACTGAATTACATTTTTGCTTTAATCCTCATTGGATGCCCCCTTGTGGTCCCATATGGGGAGCATCCGTAACAACAACAGAAGAGGAAAAAAAAGTTTTAACACAGAGGCGAAGCTGAGCTTCGCACCACTTGTGATACAAATGAAAAGCCAGTTCAAAAGATAAGTCAAAGATTTCAAATGAAAAGTACAATAAAAACATTGAAGAAATCTTATGCTGAAAAACGAAAAAAAAAACCAATTTCATTTCTTACAGAAATCAATTATCTAAACATAAGAAAGTTTGGGGCTACATATAATTCTTTCTCATAAAAAATAGATGGAACCGATAAAAAATTTCAGTCAAATTATCAAAAAAATTCATTATTGAACTCAAATTTTGCTTAAACTCATACAACCAAACAACATGCATGTTCTACAGGCAAACCTGAGGATACGAAAAGGCCCTATCAGTTGCTTACTATAAACTAATTTGAAAAACGAAATTGAAAAATCAGAATTTCGGAAAAAATAATAAATTTCGGACGTAATTTTCCAGACAGTTTGTGTTTTGCATTTTGACATGAATGTTTTGCCTACAGAAGAATGTGGCGAGTGTCGTACGATATTCCAGTGTTTGGTTCTTTCCAGCTGAGTTGTTTCAAAAATGAGTTTTCGTGTTTATTATTTCATTTTCTGTTTGTTTCTATTGCTCTTAGCAATTTTTCATATTTGATAAGTGTGATTTCTTAGGGATGATTCTCTTGTTTTTTGTGACATGTTTTAACTTTGCAGTTTTGTTTTTGAAATTCTGGTTTTTCAATTTCGTTTTTCATCTTAGTTTATAGCAAGCAACTGATAGGGCCTTTTCGTATCCTCAGGTTTGCCTGTAGAACATGCATGTTGTTTGGTTGTATGAGTTTAAGCAAAATTTGAGTTCAATAAGGAATTTTTTTGATAATTTGACTGAAATTTTTTATCCGTTCCATCTATTTTTTATGAGAAAGAATTATATGTAGCCCCAATCTTTCTTATGTTTAGGTAATTGATTTCTGTAAGAAATGAAATCGGATTTCTTTTTCGTTTTTCAGCATAAGATTTCTTCAATGTTTTTATTGTACTTTTCATTTGAAACCTTTGGCTTATCTTTTAAACTGGCTTTTCATTTGTATCACAAGTAGCGCGAAGCTCAGCTTCGCCTCTATGTCAAAAATTTGTTCCGAAGAAATTGAATGGTTGGGCGTTTATTTCTTTTGATTTGCAAAGCATCGAGTTTTTGGAACAACGTTAACACTATATGACAGTCGTCCTGTTATTTTTTCAATATACCAACTTAGTAAGTATTTTTTGATTTTTCAATGGTTTCGGTTCGTTTTATTTTTTTTTGCATTTTTTGTTTCTACTCAATTTGTCGGCTTAGTGACTGCGCGTTGAATGATGCTTAATGCATACTTACTGCTGGTGGTTGTTTCTTGGCTGTTTTTACCCTTGCGATAAGCAAGGGTATTGTAACCGCGTACTAGACTTTTTGCCGTGAACAATTTTGTTCGCAAGATCTCAAATCTTCCCATCTGTACTTTTTGAGAATTTCTGAATTTTGATATGCCCGTTATATTCGAAAATTGTCTCATGTTGATAGTAAATTTAACAACTCCGATTTGTTGAAATATCATTTTCTAGTTTTTTTCCTGACTTAATCGGCTTTTATTATATGGGCTTTGTGCCCTCATTTTGCGTAGTATGAGCAAATAATTTTCTAAGGTGTGCGTGCGTGTGTGTGTTTTGGGGAAGAGATGTGAATTTTTAGTTTTTTTCATGAAAAAATTCTGTTTCTGCTCAAGTGTTGTCGGCTTTATGAACGCTTTCCAAATCTTTGTTGCGATGTTTAATCAACGTTCAATTGTCCCCGTTGAAAGTCCTAGGATTGTCCTAGGAAGTTATTTCACGAGAAGTTGCGAGAAACATATGAAAGTTATGGTAGATCTATTTTTTAGCGGGTTTCGTTTTAATTTATCCTCACTAAGTTTTCGTGCTATAATTTTTATTGTATCGCAAGAGGTGCCAAGCTCCGCTAGCCATAGTGTGAAAGATAATTCCAATAAATTTTTTTGGAGTTCGATTGCATAAAAGTCACAGTGCCTTCCCTTCCTGATTCTGTTCAAATGCGTTTGCATCTCATTGCCTGAAAAGGTTTTTGAGATCTGCGTTTTAATTTCGACATAAAGTATAATAGTAATAATTTGTTTTTTTTTGCTCGTGTATTGATCTTTATTGAGTTTAGCTCAGTTTAAATTTGAGAAACCACATCAAGATCACCGATCAAGCTAGCTTTGAACACAATGCTATTGTATTAAGACAAAGAATTGTTTTTGATCGTAAATTACTTTAACGTTTTATTTAAGATTTAACGTTTGATCCTTCTAACTTGACCGCATGCGCGTTTTGAGGACTAGAATAAAGATAACCTATATAGATTAAAGACTGGCATGTTAGAATTGGATTGAATCGAAGTACTGCTTCGCTTATTTCGCTCTAACCATTGACTTATTTCTCAGATTAGTTGTTCAATATGCTCTATAAATTACATGTTGGTTCGGCTATTTTGCGACAAGAGCTGACCTCGCTCAGAAACTTGGTTAATCACAGTTCAACTTAGAAATCTTGCACAATGCTTTGCAAATTGTATCACAATGGAATCGAACCCTAGTAGACTACACGTTAGCTCTCGGCTCAGCACAGACTCGGCTTTTGAGGATAGTTCGAAGTTTGCGTTCGCTGATTTGACTTACGAGAACGATGATGAGTTTCCGTTTTCGGACCAAGAGCTAAGCGACTCAGAATGCGGTTTTAGCAGCATCAACTCAACATGTGCATCATCGACTACGGATAAAGACACAACTTTGAGACCACGTAGAGGTAGTTTTAGTTTCAAGTCATCATCTTTGCCCCGAAGATTTAATCCATACAATGAAAAACGGATGACAAAATGGATCCATAAACATTTCTCAACTTACCCCGTGAAATTAAAAGAGCGTCATTATAAGCGTCTCAGAAAAATTTGTTCACATGGGATCCCCGAGGGGTCACGTGAACAAATTTGGTATTTGCTCGTAAGTCGGTTATCGACTGCGCCTTTAATCGCATCCAATCGCAAGTCGTTGCTGCCCGAAAATGTCTCAGCTTTTGATGACCACCTTTCATTGCTATGTAAAAGCTACTCGACTGTTAACCCAAACCCAAAATGGTCGGATCTGATTTTGAAGGATCTGAGAAGGTGCATAGCGGATGATGATAACTTCAATCACGCGAATGGAGCTGGTTATAAAGCACTTAATAAAGTGCTGTTCGCGTTTTCTGTGCACAACGCAGATGTCGGATATTGTCAAGGTTAGTTTTTTGTTCACTCTGTCTTCTTTTTGGAAACAATTTTTTTTTGCAGAAAAGTTTTCTTTTTCGTTACGAAATTTAAAATACGAAATTAAAGGGCTTTTGACAAAATTTTGGACAAGGTAAGAAGTTCAAAGCAAATTTGAGTTACTTAGATTGTTATGTGGCTAAAATGAACACTGGTTTTGAAATCGCGTTTGTGTGTGATATTAGTATCCTTTATTTAAGCGTTTTTGAAATCACTGAGAAAGAACTTTACCGTTTAGGTCTTGGACCTCTTGTAGCTTTCATCCTCAATGTTTTCAACTCCGACAAGTCAATCGAAGACTGGAAGTGGGAACACACTTTCTGGATCGTCCATTTTCTAAACTGCGACAATCGATACATGCGTGACTACAACACACCCGGGTTAGAAGGTGTGATTGTCGACCTATGGCTCTTCGGGCAAATGGTCAAAAAATTTCTCCCGAAGCAAAATAAAATCCTGGAGATGTTCGGATTCGAACCGACGCTCTATGCGCAGGCGTGGTTCTTTTGCTTGTTTGTGAGAACTTTACCGTTAGACCTATGTGTTCGTATATGGGATATGTACATTTGTGAAGGAAAATTTGTGATGTTTAAAACAGCCCTACTTATACTGTACATAGTTTGTCACAAAAACAAGCAATTGATCAAAAATGAAGAAATGGAAGAATTTTTACAAGCTTTACAACATCCAGATGCGAAATGGTTCAAAACGGAAAGATTTGTCGAAAAGTTAGTGAAATTTAGAATTGAAACGCGACACAAAAGACGCTTTTTAGAACAAGCCGAAAGCTTCAGGTACGAAACATTTGGCGCGAAGCATACTATAACGTCGCACGCGCCGGAATTGCGATACGAAAATTTTGAACCAATATCGGAAGTCGATTCGACTGAAAATTATTTTTCGGATGACTGTGAAAGTGACTTCGGAACTTTCGACCGAAAAAAGAAAACTTCAGATACACTTCCTACTACAGCTCGCGATTCGCTAATTGATGAAGAAACCATTACGTCATTAAATGGTTTGATGCAGGTTAATGTTGATGTCAATATTAGCTCCTCTACGAATGTACAAGATGCGGAACCGGGTAAAGGAAAAATGGAATTTGGAACTTATAACAGGAAAATATCTTCGGGAAAGAGTTGTGACAGCTCGTCGCATGGACATAGCCCGATAGCTTTGTCGGCGTGCTCATCGTCTACTAGCGAGCACAAGGAAAGTTCTCCTACTGAATAACAGTGTAGTACATGGTTGTTTGTTTTAAAATTTAGGCTCTTTTTCTATTTAACTTTTGGGAATTTTAAAATGAAAAATATATTCAAGTTCATGAAAAATTGTTTTTACCAGAAAGTTCGGTTTTTCTATAAAGAGTCTTCAGTTTGTGCTATTATTTGGTTCTCGTTTCAGTACGCTGTTTAGCGCTCAGCCTTTTTTGTTGTTTGCTAAATGTTAGAATTGAGTGTTTTGCACAAAAATCTGTACATTTAGATCTATAATTTGTTACCGAGTAATTGTTGTAGTTTAAATTGAATGTATTAGTTAGTCTTAGGTTCAATTTGTGGCTTACATCCAATAGTTAGGTCTCATCCCATTTTACTATCGGTTCAAGAGGAAAATATCCACTTTCAATGATTACAGTCCAGATAAACATTACAGTCCAGATAAAGAGTTCGAAACATCTTCATGTTGTTTTTTTTCGCAGTGTTCTTGTTACAATAAATCATCGAAGAAGCGTTGAATTCTGACATTTCTCTGAACTTTGTTCGAAAATGATGCTCATTTTTGTTGTTTGTGGTTTAGAAAGTAGTACAAACATGTAGTTCTTATGCCGAGTGAAGTATTTCGGCCCTAAAAGACGATATTGATTAAAGGCAATGAACGTACTGAGCACTTTTATTTAGATCTAGCTGACTTTTTTTGGTTTTTTTTTCAGGAGAAGTCTTAAAATTTGTTCACGCTCAGTTTTGATAATTTTTCGCGGTTCGACTTGTCATTCCTTTTTAAGTTCAGTGCTTTTCCTTTGTTAAAAGGAAAACAAACTCCACTATCGAACAGCAAAGTGTAAAGGTCACGAAAAACGAGGTCGACTTCTGACTTCGAAAATGGCAATTATTTATCAGATTTCCCAGCGAATTAAAAGTTATACGTATTGATCCAGGTTTCGCAAATTGGGTTAATGCTAGCAATAAAGTGTTCTTCATAAATTGTTCTACAAATTCAAAAAGCTTTAGGGCCATCTATTTTTTTCTTCGAAATTTAAAATTTGAAGGCTCTTGAAAAACAATCAGTTTGTTTCAGTTTCCTTGCGTTCATTACTCTTTTGCAACTGTCAGTTGACTATGTCAAAATCTATTACTTATTTTAATGAATCAGTTTTTTAACTAATTTTTTTTTCATATGATTGACTGGCTAGCTTATTCAGTGATACTTGAACCGACGATAAAATTTTCAGTCATTTATCAAATGGGAGCGAGTGGATTTCATTCCGCAACTAGACATTTCCGTAACTATCTTTTTTTGTTGCAGTTAAGATTTGGCAAGCTAAATTTTGTTTAAGTCCAGTTATGTTTACCCAAGCGAGCTTGCACGCGTTTTGTTATATTACCAGTCCAAAGTTTTTTCCAACTGAACTAGACTAACTTAAAGCTACTTGTTTGGTAGCAGGTTTGCTGCATAGCATAACAATTCAATAACACGTCTTTTACCCGCTTTATTGGTGGCTATTGTTTGAAGATATCAAGCGTTGGTGGCATAGTTGTGTAGTCATTAGACTCGGTTCTGGTAGAGCATGGCTGCGATTCCCTGGATGCTAGCCTTTTTAAAATTAAAATTATTTTTTCCCAGCTTTTCCCAGCTTTTTGGCGGTTTGTCATTTGTTTGTGAAGTGGAGCTTCGCAAATGTGTCTTACTTGGATCGAACTTGCAAGCGCCACTAGAAGCTCCCTTTTTTCTACTACGATCTTTTCCAGTATTACATGACAAAAGCTCCCTTACCTTTTTGTTTGAAACGAGAAAATCTCATCCAATAAGATACCTTCGTTCTAAAATCCATTAGATACCATAATAAAAAAGCAAAGAAAAACTAACAGAATTGAAAAGAAAGGCGGTTTAGCAATCGAAGCGAAAACAAAGCTTCGGTTGAAATCAAAGAAACGACAAAACTTTCGTTGCACAAGTTTTGAACTTAAATGACCTTGCTAACTCAAACTTCAAAACAGACTAAGCTACAATCTAAATTGAAAAGGTTATCCAATTAATCAAAACTAGCTTTGGCAAAAATGGCCAGATGTTTCAGAAAAATCAACTCGGTACACAAAAAATGTTTTTGCAAAAATCCAAGTCATTTAAATCTTTTTCATTGCGAATCAATTGCCGTTGGGTTTGATAAAATTTGTCATTTATCATTTTTGATCTTTTTTCCGCTAAACGCAATACTCAAAGGGCCGACAGGCCCCTAACCCAACATAGCGCCCCGTAACTGAGGGCAAATGCTCTGATATCAAATTGCTATGGACAGCATTTTCGGATGCGAGTCGTATTACTGCGTATCGCTGTTCTCCGGGAAGGTGCAAGGAGACGTCTTTGAAAAGTTGATCAAACAAATTTAAATCAATGTTATAACAGGCAGAAACAAACAAATATTACTTAATTATTTAAATGAGCAAGTGTAAGGACATAACATAAAAAGGTAGAGTCTTGGTATGAACTAGTTTTCTGTTGAACTTATTTGTTCAGATCACGGTTATTTTTACGGAATAAGTTGATAGTGCCGCTGGATGCCTTTCAAGATTTTGATTTTTTGATTATATAGGAATCCAATTGAATTTTCTCAAGAAACATATATATTGAAGGATGGCTGTCCTGAAACAAAGCGGTAACACCTAGATGTCACACTTCAACCTCATTTGTTGTTCGGGCTAGACCATACACAGCATTTTGATAATGGTTCCATAAAAAAATTGGAAAGATAGTTTTTCGACCTATCATATCCCTTTTAATGTAAGTTTTTTTTTGGAAAAATTCGTTTTCGTTTTCAAATTTTTCGAGATTGTTTGTGGTATATTCAGTTTGGTTTTCAAACTGCATAATTCTTGAATTAATAATTCGAATATAAGTTCCCACTTTTGACTCCGGTACATAATTAAGGGCAGGAATTATATGCAGCGCTAATATTAGCTCGCTGTTTGGTTCATAAGTATTCTTTGGGACCAGTTCGGATATTTTCCCCATATAGTTCTGGCAGAGGTGAAAGTAACATCACTTGAAGTCAGTTTGGCAATGAGACGCAAATGCATTAAAAGCCGAAATTTCAAAGATGATCAAATGTCTTATCGGTGTAACGTCACCGTTAATCGATTTACTTGCGAGTAAGAATCTGTAACACGCTGACAAGTGTTTATCGCTGAGCAGTGCGTAAACGCAGGGTAGATAAAACCCACCAATCTAGATGTATATAGTTTGAAGCTGGTAAAACAGACCAAGAAAAATGTTGAAAAAACCGTACACAAGCCATGTTCTGTTCTACAATTTTAGATTTCAACATCGTCAAAAATCAATATCCGTTCCCTATCTTGTTTTCCGCTATCGAAAAAAAAAAAATTGCTTAAATCGATCCGTAATTTTGAGTTGACAGTAATCTTTGTAGTACTGGGGCAGGCATGCTGTTTGATTACTTCTGTTTTGAGTTCGCGTTATCGCCGACCGGGATCCGTTCTATTCAAAATTTGTTTCTTACATAAGTCGTTAGTCTACCAGTTCTGTTTTGGTAACAGTTTTTTTCGTTTTTAATTTTTTCAATTCGTGTGATGTTTAAGCTTATGCGGTATCGGCTCAGTAGCTTCACCAAAAAAGTTTTTGTGGCTCTACGGGTGTCTTAAGTTTTTTCGGCTTCATTACCGCTAAGAAAATTTTCTTCAGATGCTAATTTAATCTTCAATAGCCTTACATGGTATGTTTTTCTCGACATAATAAATCCAGACCAGCGTTTGAAAATTTTGGCAGATTTAGCTTTTTCCAGCCAATTTTTCCCATTTTTTTTTTCAACTTAACGCTTCTCTGTAATGTTTTTGACGGTTTTTTGCCATGTTTTTTTAATGTATCGAAATTGACTGGAAGCTACGCTCGCCCTGCTTGTTTTCCGTATTTTGATTTCCGCTATCGAAAATTGAGAAATTGCTTAAATCGATCCGCGATTTCGAAATGACAGTAATCACTATAGCGATGAGGGCAGGCATTCTGTTTGCTTACTTCTGATTATAGTTCGCGTTATCGTCGACCCGGATGGCAAGTACTTATGGGTTGCCTTGTCTAGCACAAATATAAATTAGCTGCGATGATCTGACAAGTTACCGGATTTAGTTGATTTTTGACTGTCTCCATCATTTGCTGAACTAGCTTTCGAGCTTCTGGCCGTCCTGCTTTGAGTTTAAGACTAAGCTCGTTGCTGTTAGAAACCTTTCGCCACTTCTTGTAATTAAAGTTTTCAGGCACCTAAATGATCTTCATTTGCTGCAGCTTCATTGCGTTATCTTTGTATCGCGCTTCTTATGAAATTCATGGCCGTTCAAAAATAAAAAAATTGTTCGGCTTTTTTGTGAAGTTCCTCAAGTAAAAGAATTCATTTTTGATTATTCATTGACTTAAAAAGTCAGAAGAATATAGAATGATGAATGCAGAATGTATGCATTTTCAATTGAGCAGTTCTAATTCAAAACATAATAATACTAGCTTAAACACATGATGCCGGTTTGTTAACCAATTTCAAACAGGACTCTTCTTTATTATCTTACATTTGCGTTGTTCAATAATAGCGCGAACCTTCTTGAAGTATCATTACTCTAGATTTCTTTTTGATGACACTTTGATTGTGGTCTTCATTTCATAATTCATGGGATCTTATTTTTTTGGTCGCTTTTAGTAAATGGGATCTTTTGGTACGGTGTTTTTTCATGGGAGTTAACGCTGTGGTATTTTTTGCCCTGACATCCTTTTTCAGCTGGTAAGAAGTCTGGTTTTTTGTCGGCTTTATCGCCATAGCTTTCTATTGATTACTTAGGTTGTAATTCTACCAGTTCTGTTTTGGTAGCAATTCTTTTGGATTTTATTTACTTTTCATTTTTGTGATGTTTTAGCTGATGTGGTATGGGCTCAGTAGCTTTACGAAAAAACTTTTTGCGGCTCTTCGGGTGTTTGCTCAAGTTTTGTCGGCTTAGTTACCGCTAAAAAAGATTTCTTCAGATGCTCTTTTACCCTTCAATAGTCTATCATGGTATGTTTTTCTAAAATGTCTTCAATTGTGTTAAATCGAGACCAGCGTTTGAAAATTTTGGTAGACTTAGTTTTTTCAGACAGTTTTTCCAGTATTTTTTTTCAACTTCTCTGTTATGTTTTTGCCGGCTTTTTTTCCAGGTTTTTTTTCGTATCGTATCGAAAGTGACTAGAAGCTACGCTCGCCTTGCACCTGTGTTTATTATTCTCATTGGTCAAAGTTATTGGTTTGCACCAGATTTTTGAAGAATGTTTTCGTAAATGATTTAAAAATTTTCGTTTCCTTATTTATAATGGAAGCAATCAATGTGAAAAAGTGTACAAATTTATTTTTTTAGGCCTGATTACAACATGATTGATTTTTTTGGCTTCGAAAATGATTTTTCAAGCATGATTTTATGGTTTTATCCAACAGCGGATTTTTTTGGGGGGAGGCGGATGCCCCACCCCTCAGGGATTCGACTACCTGCCGACCCAAAGGGTCCCTCTTTGTAGTATTTTGAGATCTTCATTTTGGCAGATGGACCTTTAATTTTTTCTAAAGGCGCCTTAGGCGCCAATATGTACTAATTTTGAAGGGGAATTTCAGCCTTTTTGAGTTTCTGCTGTATTATGTTAAGAGTTATTTTTTTTGTGTAATCCGGATGAGTCCTAATCATCTACTATCTAGTCTTGTCTCATAAATCATTCCATTGGTGCGACATTTAGTTTTTAAATTTCTTTGAAATCTATCTAATCAGCAATTTGTTCAGACCTTTTTAAATCCTTTTTGTAAAACTATCCAAAAATGAAGTCGGTCTGCAAAAACACAATCATCGGTGCTTGTGCTGTGTAAAAAAAATTTTCAATCTAAATTTGATTTCAAGTTTTGCTTACTCAGCTTCAATCATAATCGTATATTTGAAAAAGCGTATCGCTTATATCAGTGTCACAATGTAATCTGCTCATGGCTTTGAATTGAAATTTTATTTTGCGCTATTTTGTCTCTGGTATAAAAATTGATAATTTGAATAAATTAAAATTATAAATTTGCTCTTTGTCAAAAAATATTTTCCATCACCTCGATATTTACCAGCTAATCCATTCATTTATATGCATCCGTATGCAAAATTGATCTAAATTTATTTATCAGAACATATTCCACAGAAATAAGAAAACGCAAAGAATAAAGTTGAAAATGAGCAGTAGTCTCAAATTTTGTCGCGGCATTTTTCCAAGCAACTCGATGCTTCGTTTGTACATGCATTTAGCATCTTTGTTCCACCACAAGAATTTCTGAGTTTTATCGCCAATCGCGACTATCATTTTGTTCGGGTCAGTTGAAAGATAGAATTTTTCAAGGCGTTTTCGCATTGTTGGATTTCCAAAATCGGAACTCTTGGCGATGGAGTTGCACAGAAGTGTTGTGTGACATGTCAACCATGTAGTGAAAAGAGCTGCCGTGTAGCCAAAAAGTTTCCTGTAATGCAAAAACTATTTTAAAAAGAATATTAAAATCCGATCAATTCTGTTCACTTAGATGCAAAACTGAGCGTGAGAGAACGTAGAATGCACGATTGTATTATAGTTTTCTTCTCTTTATTGACTGTATGTTGAAACCCCCATAATAACTTTAATGATTCGGCTAATCATCATAATTTCTGTTTTATAGTTTTCTTGCGGCTTCTTGTTGATTTTAATATCAGAACTTTATTACCAGAAAATGCTGTTTTTTACCACATGAAAAGAGTAGCGCTGATAGAGCTGCTATAGCCTAGACTGGCAATATCTTTATTATCGTTGGCTGCAAGTGGCTTGATCACCTCGTAGAACTTCTTGAATTTCATCCAGTCGTCCTAGGAAAAAAATACAACAATTTTCGGATACAATTTTTTTTACACAAAAAGCACTAGTTTTGTGATAGTTTAATTCACGAGTTTTGTGTCTTCAATGATTAATGAGCCATATGTAGCATTTTTTTGGAAACGCAGTATAAACGAATGAGGTAGAAAGTGCAAAACTTGTTCTTTCGGCAGTTTAAGTTTCTTAATTTGTTTAAGAGTTAAAAGTTCCATTGTTCAGAAAGAAAGAAACAATTTCTGCGGACAGACACAAAGACTATAGTCTACGCAAAATAAATAAACGAAAAAATTAGATTCAGGATTTTTTTGTTATTGTACGTTTTATCTGAAAATGATAGACAGAAAACAATTTACGTGCCCAATCAAGTCTACCAGAGCTAATTCAGGCTCGAACCATTAACATGTTAATATGTGTAACACTATTTGAGGGGAAAAAGTAGCAACAATTGCATACATAAAGCTGACAGTGCGCGTTTTTTTTATTTGGACCAAAGCAATTGAGTGTTTTTATCAGCTCCCAATCAAAGGTAAGAATGACAAAATGGAAAGTTTCGAAACAAAATGTTTTTCTACTGTTTTGCAGAATTTCAAAAAGTTCTACAAAATGGCGTTTTAAGACGAGCAAGTTTTTTTGGCTAAACCCGGCTAAATGTCTGAACAATTTGAGAAAAAGAAATCCCTTATATTATCATTTTTAAAGTTCTGAAAGTTGTCCAAAAGTTAATTCTACTTATTCAACGAGTGTTCTACAATCAAATGTATTCGTTATCTTGTTTGATATCTAGTGTTATAAGCGAAATTTTTCAATTGAAACAATTAATTGAGATTTTCATTTTTGTATCTACAAATCCGGGAAAGAAGCTAATTGGAAAAAAACTTAAGCTAATTGAAAGCTATTAGTTTGTGAATAGTTTTACTTCTATTTTCAAAAACTGTTTAAGCGGAAAAAAAACTAAGTGATTTACGCTTATCGAAGACATGATGATTTTTTCAGGAAAAGAGATCTTGATATTTTCTCGTCGAAATCCGAAAACGTTTCCTTTAGTTTCCTTGTTTTGTTTTGCACTTTTTCAACTTTCTGTTGGCTACTTTTTAGTTATACTGTCGAATTTCTGAAGAAAAATTATTCTGAATGTTTTTCAATTGAAACATCAGAATTGGATTCAACGATGCAAAACTAGCGCCATCGTATATCAGTTAACCATATTGTATGCTTCCGTTTATTTTGGCTCTATAGTGTTTCAGTGTCTCACTTTTGAAACAACACCCTAAACCGTCCGAAATAAGAATTTGTTTTACAGTTTTCTACCCTTCGCTTCATTTTTGAAAAAATATATATAGTTCTTAAAAATACATATTTTCGTGTTTCTAACTTTGATGCGGGTGATCTCGGACTGAATTCTCTCCTTGTTCACAATGTCCCTGGGCACCTGTGTGAACACATCCATGGCGAATATGGCATGTCTGATCACACTGCTTCTGTAGTCTAACACACAGGACACATACGACTTCGACACCAACTCCGCCTAAATTTTAGTTAATTTTTGATGGGTCTTATTATTTTATTGTTTAATACTTTTTCTGAAGAGCACAAACACGTTGATGTATTTGATTAGTTTGAAAGAAAGGCGGGGAAAAATTAATTGGAGGAAATCGGTAGGAATCGTTCTTAATTAGCTCTCAATACGCAAATCAATCGATTTTAAGTAAACGAGCAATTAATCGTTTGGAACATCATATAGAATTAAAATGTGCTTATTATCGAATAGATGGCATCTTAAGTCAGACCAACTGAGTGAAAAGACTAGCCTTATGACTGATGATCTTTTTATCAGCATTGGTCTGAGCCAAAATTTTACAGAACTCCTCTCGAAACTCCTTAGAGAATGTCTGCAGCTGGTCGATTATTTCCTCCTCAGAATGAGAGAAAATGTCATCCAAGTTCAACTTGGTCTGTTTCTTCGTCGAAGTTGTTCCCCTAAATCGATAGTTTTTTTTAAAAAAAAACATCTGAGTCTTAGCTTGCCATAATATTTCGCAACGTATAAATCATTTCATCGTTCTGTTGATATAGTTAATTTCTATTCCTTAGTATTAAAGATTTTGCTTAATTTTTTGGTGAAAAACAAAAATATATAAATTGAAGATTTTTTTGGTACTTACGTGCGCTTAACTTCAGCGGAGTTTTCAGTTGTGGTCATTTCTACTTGAAAATTTCAAGAAATGAAAAATCAGTTTGGGAAGTGTTGCTTTCAAATTGAAAAACAAGTATTAACACTTGCAAGGAAACATCGCAACTGAGGATCGCTGTGCGTTTTCAATGTATTGAAAAAGTAGTTTGAGGATATGTAACATATGGTGTTACCATTTTGAATCTATAATGTAACCATTTGTACCAATTTGAACGTTTAAAATTTGCAAGTAAATGTCTGCCAGCTTATAAAGTCTGCAATGAATGAAGTTGATAATGGATCGGTTTAAAAAATACTGAATTAAGTAATATTTAGTTCTGGAATTAATCTGTGCAAAACAAAGAAAATGATTTTTGAAATACAATTGATCAAATACAATTTTCAAATATGCCCTTGTGGACGATGCAGGCCTTGATTTTTAGTAGTTTGAAAAATCTTAATTTATCGTAACGACAAAAGACGGTCTTTTGTTTTCTGTCTCAAGTTTTGAACGTCTTTAAAAAAAGGCCTTGACTAATTTAATGAACTGTGAGCATATCCTATTGTTTGAAAAGCTCAATGATTTCTATGAAGTATGGCCTTTAATAATAGGAAATAAAATGTCGGTATGGACTGAAAATGTGTCTCCTAGAATTATCTAAGTTGCATTGTCTAAGCTAACTTGAAAACTTCCAGCCTTGATAGGTAAAGTTCGCGTCAAGATGATGACCAGCTTATAGGACTCCTTAAGAAATCAGTGATTCGCCAACAACCATAATGCGCTTCTTTTTCTAAACAGATCTGTTTTTTGAATTTCTATGGCTCAATAACAGACAAGGATGTTTAACGAATTCTGGCCATGATCTGAAATAAAACTTTTAGCTTTTTTTCGTTGGTTAATCATGTGTAAAAGTACTTGCCAACAAACAATTCATTGAATATAGTTATTGGTTTTAGTGATAATTTATTGAAACAGTTGTTGTGTTTTAGTTACTGGAGGATAACACACAGCTGATCAAGACTATCACGGACAGTCAGCAGTCGGCAAAGGCTCAAGATGTGTTCCCGTAAGTCTATTTAGTATTCATGCCATGCTTTAAGTTATACAGTGCTGATTTAAATTATCCGGACAAAACGAACGAAACTTGAACTTTCAAACACGTTTTTCTCAAATTGGGTTAAGATTAGACAAAAAAGGAAGAAAACAAAAGTTGCTGAGAATTTCATCAGAATTAATATGATGCAATTTTTCTCCAAAATTCTCAACCAAAATTTTACCTCAAAACTGGGTCATTTTGACTTTTTTCAATTAATCAAGAATTACGCTGAAACTGCTTTGTTAATTGATAAGGAATATGTATCACAAGAAGCCTCTTACACAGCCCAACAATGTTCTACAAGGGTTAAATCTCCAAAAACCTGTATAAGAGAAAATAATTTAGCTTGATAGTCAAGAAACGTGATTTTTACTATATAAAACCCAAAATTTTTGATTAAAAACAAATTTTAAACAATTTACTCACTTTTTTGGAGATTTAACTCTTCTAGAACTTTGTTAGGCTGTGTAAGAGGCTTCTTGTGATATATACTTCTCATCAATTAACAAAGTAGTTTCAACGTAATTCTTGATTAATTGAAAAACGTCAAAATGACCCATTTTTTGGGTAAAATTTTGGTTAAGAATTTCGGAGAACAAATTGCATCATATTAATCTTGATGAAATTCTGAGCAAATTTTGCTTTCTTCCTTTTTTGTCTAATTTCGACCCAGTTTGAGAAAAACGTGTTTGAAAATTCAAGTTTTGTTCTTTTTGTCCGGATAATTTAAATCAGCACTGTATTAGTTTGTCAAAATTGTTTGAAAGAAGTTGGCACTTATGAAACTTATGAAACTTATCTGAATTTGATTCAAAACAGTGAGCTAAAGTAATTAGTCAGAAGTGGCTAGTGAAGTTAGCGTCTAATGGCAAGACTTTAGATAGCATAGTTTTTTTAAAGTTAAATTGGAGAAGCTCAGTCATTGAACGGTTTTTTCCTGTTCAATCGAGAAAATGGTCTAAAATAAAGTACCAGAAATGGTTACACTATTAGTATAAGAATATGAGATGTCATATACCATTGATTTTTCATATAGTATTTCGGGGTTATATTTTTTGATAAATTGATCAGAACTAAATCTGAATTGTAAACAACTAGACCTATTCATGCATGTTGTTTGAAGACATTTTTAGTGAGAAATATTTGGCAATCAATCATCAATGCTTGAATGGAGTTTTTTTGCTTCAGATTGTACCAGGCGCTGCATAGGAACCTCTTGCAGCTGGCACAGTTGACAGAGCCAGGCAATCTGGAAATACCACACCTGCTACCGGTTAGATTTAATGCAGCATCCTTGGTTTACAAATAACATCAATAAAAGTGCTCCAAAATCCATAAAATCTATGAGAATATAAGTAAGAACTTTTTCTGAAAAAAACTTTCGTATAACTGATTTTAAAAAACTTCAGAAAATAAGTTTTTCGTGTTGTATTGGTTATCCAGATGAGAAACGGATTTTCTCGAAGTAAGATTGATTTGAAATTTTCTGATCGAGGTTGCTTTTTCAGTTCACTGATAACATTTTCAAATTTGTTCTAGGCTCCTGATCCGAACATTTTCTCAGCCACTCTAAAGCCCCCCTCAGCTACCCTAATGGCCACAGTACCCCCACCCCAGAATTATGTACCCCCTAATGGACCGCAACCCTCTATGATTACGTCACGAGGGGGCAAACCGGCAAATATTGTCAATCCATACCAACGAAGACCCCCAATGGACCATCCAGGAGGTAGTACTGGTGGAACTCCGAAGATGCAAGCACCTCCCCCTCCACAACACGCAGAATACCCGACAACATCAGGATTGTCCCCCAATCATCATCATCAACAGCATCTTATGGGAGGCGGTTCGAGTCGAGGGTCGTCGGGAAAAGAAAAGAAGCAACAAACTGGCGATGGGACTAAAGTTCAACATCATCAGCACGTAGCGCAGCCGCATCACGGTTAGCTGGCATTGTTCGAATTTATCTAGAAAAGTTTTGGTCATTAGCTATAGCACTTCTCGTAAAATAAAATAATCAAATCTACTTTTATTATTGCGGTTTTTTAAGCCTAGGCAATGTGATTTCGCTGGCGCTCATTCTTGAATTAGTTTGTTAATTTTGCTATTTTGAGTTTTCAATAAAACTCCGTCGAATTGATTTTTGAATTAATTGTTTTATTTTAGCGGCGGAAAACGCTGTCGTGATTCCGGTTCCAAAACCAGTTCCAGCATCTACCGTTCTCTCATCTATGGAGTTGCAACCCCAGCCTGTAAAACAGGAATCATCAGGATTCCAACATCCCTATCATCCGCCTGCCAACTCCGTAACACAACCGAATGTCACTGTAGTACCTCAAGCGACATCTTTAGAGACGACAAGCATGCCTCCACCACCGTCGCAAGCGATGCCTACGCATACGCACGGTCCAAATGATAACATGGCATCTCCGAGGAGCGTCGCGTCGGACAGTCAAGCTAACACTGGTCATAATGCAGCGTCAGCAGCTCCAGTTTCGCCGGCGGTGACGAAGTTCACAGCTCCGGCTCATGTGGATCCATACCAGCCTCTAAGTGCACATACGCAGTCTGTGTTGAGTAACGTGTCAAGTGCTAGTAAAACGAACGCAAGTGGACATAGCTTTGCAGGTTAATATTGTTGTCTTTGAGTAGAAATAATATGTAAAAATTAATAAATTTTGAAAAATTGCTGTCAAGGGTAGGTATGCATACTGCTGAAATTTCCGCCATTTTTGCTCAAATTTTTTTTCATTGTTTTTTTTTATTTATTGATAAACTGTCAATGTTAAAAACCAACAGAAGTCATAACAGGATCAGAGGCGCCTGAAAACGGGCTGCAAAGTTCCACGGCGTTCTCGCAATGGGATTTCGTTTGGTTGTAAATATAGTAAATTTCACAGTGAATGGAATCTACTTCGCATACAATTTATTATTATATTATTGTTCCGGCTTTCGATACAAAAGTAACGGAATATTTGTGCTCGGGGTGGGTTTTTTTTCTTCAGACAAATTTTGACTTTTAACTAGCCATTATTGACGGAATTTTTTATATCATTCAAAAGATATTGTTGTCCTGAGCTTAAATTTGAAAAGATATTTCACCTGTGATCATTTTTCGTAAAGTTAGGAGGGTTTAAAGGTTGCCATTTTGACCAATTTGGGACAATTAATGCGCGATATAATTCGCGCTATTAACGCGTAAGCGGAGATTTAATCCGTCTTAGAAATCGTTCCAAATTGGTTGAAAAAAGCTTATTTGCCATAATTGATTTGTTGCAAGGAACGAAATCTATCTTTTTGAATTTTATATGGCGTGTGGGGGGATGGTTTTCATAAAAAATTTCCTAATTAAAAAAAATTTCATTTTGTTTTATTTCATTTAATTTTTTTTAATGTTGTTACTGCTCCATGAACCTAAAAAAAGCAGTCGGAACAGTCAGGGCTTCGCCCTGATACGAGCAGTCTTGTAATTATTATGTCAGAAGAAACGTAGTTTTTTTTGAATTTCCTCTAGCAATTTGTATCTGTTTTGTCGAAGATTTTATTTTAGTTATTTGTTTTCAATCAGCAACCCAATACCGCCCCAAATGTTTTGTTGAAAAAACGGATTAACTTCATTAGACTTCTGTGGATTTGAAATTTCTTTTATTGTTATAAGAATAAGGCAGAAAAGATTGACTTGCTTCAATTTGGGCATAAACTGGGTAAATGTTTTAGCATCGACCGCTGGAGGTAGGCCACACCTCAATACCTCGCCTGTCGACAATCCGCCGCTAGCCAATCCGAATCCTCAAAATGATGTAGCTCCGAATGTAAACGTGACCGATGCAATAAAACGGGAATCGGTAAACAAACCGCAGAATCATCATGGTCAAATGCAACCTCCGAATGTACCACAGCATCAGATGTCGACTTCGATCGCTCATCAAATGAACCCGCAGTATCCCGGATCCCAAGGAGGACCCACTCCTCAAAGACCATCGATGAGTGCGCCTCCGCCACCCTCGAGCGCCAAATACGGGCAACAACACGGGGGAGTTCCACCGCACTCCGGGGCTTCAAACCCTTATTACAATCCGGCAATGCCAAATCAGCAAATGTCGCCTGGAGGCTCTTCGGGATCTTACCCTGGATACTCCCATGGAATGTCCCCACAAGGACCGCAATATGCAGTGCCAATATCGCAACGGGCGAATCCATATGCTCAACAGTATCCCCGATACCCTGGGCAACCGTACCCAGGTATGTACGGATCTGGACATAGTTACCCGCCAGCACATTACGCATCCCCGGCACACTATCCGCCACCTTCTCAATACCCGCCAGGAAGTCAGTATTCGTCGCAATATGGGGGACCTCAGCATCATATGCAAAATCAACAGCAATTGAAAATGTATCATCATGCGCAGGGACAAGCGACGTCGATGTCCGGGCATCAGCCTAGCACGATGCCCAATGCGAACGTGACAGTGCACCCGGGATCCGCAGGTCAGCCGGTTCCTCCAGCATCGATGATGGGACCTCCAGGTAGTTCACAGTATCACGGGACGCACGCTTACAGCCAACAACAGCAACAAGCTCCTCAACAGCAACAAATGTCAGCGCAACATAACGCAAATGTGTCCATGGCATCTTATCCCCCACCCCAGAGTTCAGATCCGCAGAATCAGGGGGGCTATAGCATGCAGTCTCCTCAGCAAGGAATGTATAATAGACAGCAGGTGCAATCACAAGCGAGTGTCCAGCAGCAAGGGTATAGTCACCAATCAATGTCGGTAGCTCCTCAGACTCCGACAAACGGAGGAGCAACTATGTCGCCGAGTCACGGTATGCCGCCGCCTAACAGTGGAATGCCATTAGATGGTCAGCAGTAGAAAATGAATTTTCTATGCAAAAAGGAAAAAACTACATGTCGCTACTTATATTAGAAGCTTCGGTTTTGATGATAATTATTGAAATTCGTTCTGTCAAATGGTTCGATATCTGTTCCCTGTTAATATTGTCGATTTGGATATATCCATAAAAAATTTAATAATATAATAGTCGCTAAACTAGTCTATAGATAAATAATTCTTCGGTATTCGTATTTTATGACTCTTAAACTGATTAGTCTTGATTTTTCTCTTTGTTTGTTCATTATATAGTCTCGTTATTTAGACTCGATGTCCTTATTCGTTTGATGAAACTGTGATGTTTTTCGCAATTTAAATTATCAAAACTCAGAGTTTTCTTGAAATAGGAAGAAAAAAGCCGAAATAAAATGGACTGATATATTATAATAGGTGGTACATTTTCATGTACATATCCAATAATTACCTTAGCGTCAGCTTGGTGTATTATTGAGAACCTTCTTTTTTAAAACTCTAAGTGCAAATTTCGGTGCCACTTTCGGGGGACACTTTTACAGCTTATTGATAGCATGTGCTTTAAAATTCGATTAGTAATAAGTTTACAAAGTTGATGCATGTTTACCCTTGCGGAGCAAAGTTTAGTAGTATTAATTTTTTTTTTTTTCCAACCTAAGTCGCAAATAAAAGGCTGCTTTTGGTGGCATTTTTGAATCGGCAGGCTGCGATAGCAGTATAATGTCATATGTGCTTTGACATTTGATTAGTAAAAAAAAATAACACAGTTGATGCATTTTTTAATCATCAAATGAACCGAATTAAAATATTTCGTTCAAAGAGCAGTGCAATGATAAACAGCTCGATATAAGAAATTTACCATCTCAATGTATCTCGCAATTTTTTTGAAATGCATAATTTATACATAATTTGGCTTTCAGCTTTCCAGTTAATTACTTAAAAAATTGTCTTTAGGTATTTGATGCTAATTTTGCTGCATAGAATTGGCAATTTATTAGCATATGTAGCTACGTTTTTGGTGACTCCTTTGTGAGGATTTTAAGCACCCGAGGCTGGGTGGTTAGTGCGTGAGACTCAAAATTGCTAGGTCGCAGATTCGAATCCGTGGCCGAGTTTTTGTTAATTCGAGGCCTATTTCTACTTGTTTTCTTTTCAATTGATTAAGCTGCTTTTTGTTCATGTCGCATTTTGTTTTGCAAAGCGCAGCTTTGCCTGTGTCGATCCATCAATTGAACCGATAAAAGCTATCTGTTTCAAACAGCTTTTACAGCTTAGAAAAATAAAAAAATCGCTTTTAGAAGTTCTCTAACTCAATACATCTCACAATTTTTTGAAATTCATAATTTATAGATCATGCTTTGCGATTTGTTACATGCAAAGTTAGTGTGGATGCTTTCAGGTTGTTATATTCTTAATTATTACTTGCAAAATTGTGTTAATTTGTTTGGGCCACTCTTGCTGAATCGCATTGACATTTTATTAGTATATGTAGCAGCTTTATTCGTGACTAGTTTTTGTCGGACAAGTGTTTGTTAAGCGCGCGTGGCTGAATGGTAAGTGCGCGAGACTCAAAATCTCTTGATTGCAGTAGGTTACAGATCGATTTCTAGACCTAGCCGAGTTTTCGTTAATTCGAGGCCCATTTCTCTTTTTTTTGCACTTTCTAGAGCTGCTTTTTGTCGTGTGTTCGCTAGTGTTCGCGAAGCGAGTCTTCGCCTCTGTGTTACGCTTGCGATTAGCAAGCGTTATCAAGTCCGAAACCTTTTTTTTCGGTTAACAACTAGTTTAACAAAATTAGTTGAATCACTTATGATGCTGCTATGCAGCTTGCATGATCATTTTCATGAAATTTCAAATTTAACTCCTGGATGGGTGCTAGTTACTACTAGTATATGCTATCTATGCCTAGAAATTATATGCTGTATCTAGAAATCGAAGTTTCGATGCTTATTTTCTGCTAACGATTTTTCGGCTTCACTGTTGTCGGCTTAAGCTCTGTCTGCTTAGTTTCCAATTTCTGAAGTCCATTTGCCCTAGCTTTTTATGTAGCTATTGTGGATTCTATCTGGGCATAACATGCATTTTTCCACTATTTTTTAGTGAAGAGTTTCAGCTAATTGGCTGTCAGCTTTATTTCAATAGGCTTATTTTTTTGATTTGTCTTACTTCAAATGTCAGTCAGTACTTTGAGATCGATAAGACAGTGTCACCAATTTTTGAATGCCCATATTCAACCCACTAGAACTCGTTGAAAAACTTTCATAATTTTAACCTTAAAAATATCTTTTTTTTTAAAAAAATTTCCGTTTCCTGCGTCATTTGTAATCTTTTACGAAATTCTGTTTGCTAATTTTTGAGCGTTATATTGCTTTCATCCTCTAAATGTTCTATCGCAAGTAGCGCGTAGCTCAGTTTTGGCACTTTGTGTAATATTTGGTAGACTTAAAAGATCACGTTTAAATTGGAAGTTAAGAAAGATGAAAATGACGGGAAAAAGCTTTAGAAAACTTAGAATAAAAATTTCAATTTGCCAATCAGGAAAACGGTAACTCTAAATAAATGTTGTATTTATATTTCATTCTATTCTAACTTTTGATTTATTCGCTTTCTTCTTATTGAACTTACACAGTCAAATTTTGAGAGTTGTAATGTTGACCCCAAAGTGAGTTCGAAAAAGACACTGAAACAAATTAGCAAGCTTTGTGAAACCTAATTTATTAAATTGTTTTGTAGCAATTGTTTTGTTTTCGGTAACGCGCTTTACATCTTATTTTGCAAACCACCAATTGGAAAAAGGATTAACAAATGCTGTGCATGTAGAACAGGAAGTTCCGATTACAGCGATTAAGGAAAGAAAATCAAAAAGAACATTTTTTTTTTTCAGTTAAAGGCAATTCAGCCGAAGAACAACCTGCAAAATGAGAGGTATAAAAAGATAGCTTTCATGTAGTCTGAAAAAGTTTAGACTAGTTAATTTTGAAAGACAATTTTTTGATTTTTTTGGAATCTGAATAACGACCAGTAATGCCTTAAATCCTACCACGCTTGAACTCTTACGATTTGAAAAACTAAAAGCGGCCAAAAAACATGAAGTTAAGCTTAGACGGTTTATCCATAAGGGACAGGACCAACATACGAGCTTTTCAGCTCATCACGGAAAACCGCTGTTGTGCCCCTGCTCAAGAGCTGCATTTTTTGGTTTTTATTTTCTGGACTGGGTAATGTTGCCTCACCCACAAGAAACGAGCACGAAGCATGGTGGGCCTCGACTATCCGATCTTTTGATTGACAGGCGGAGACGCAACCACTTCACCGCCGCCCCTTTTCTCGTAATAGTTTCTTTCCACTTCGTGAAGTGGTCAATACAACCAAGAGCGTGTTTTCAAAGTGTCGAATAATCGGATACTTGACTTTTTCACAGTCGTTTCTCGGGTGTGAATTGGCTTAATTCGGGGCTCAAGAAAACCTAACGATTTTTCTAATCGGCCGGATTGTTTTGCTGAGACTTTTTAGCATACTGCGTGTCGTCTAATTCAATGAAACGTCGTTTTTGTCAGCATCTAATTATTCAATGCGAAGGGAAAGAGTTACCAAAATTTTGATATTTTGGTTACTACTTGTTGCGGTTTTCTCTCGTCTCAGCTATCAATTACTAGCAGAGAAAAAGAGCTTGGTTAACTCAAGTTTCTAAGTCAGTTTTTTTTTCAAATAGCTTTTGGTTGATAGAAGTGCTTTGATGGTTCTCGCTTCTGCTTTACTTTATGAACTCTTGACTTGACAACCCTCCCTTTGATAAGACAAAGGCAGCCCTCGCTTGAAAAACTGAATCTTCCTGGTGGGCCAGTTTGTTCGGTCTTACATACTAAAGAGAGCCAATTCTCTTGCATGCATTTTTCGCTTTTTAAATAAATGCGCGATAATTGATACTTCGTACCATTTTCATTCGTCCTTGGTTTTTGTAGCTGAATCATACAAAACCTTCAAGTATATTTTGGTTCTTATTGAAAATTTACTACTTTCGTAAGTGTAACTGTAGACTCAGTTCTTTAGAAACGTTCAACCGCCACATTTTTAAGGGTGGCTTAATTGAAAGTGAAATAAAAAAGTACTCATTTAAAACTCGTTTGTTTAATCTTTATCTGATAGAAATGAACTGCGAAAGAAGCATAGAAGCCAGTGACTTCCCATGTTTCAATTTTTTTTCTGTTAGAGTAATTAACCAATTTTTTATTTTCGAGAGTAATGGGTAACTCGATTTTTTCCATTGAATAATTTTTCTTACAAATCAGTAAGAAATTCAACTTGCGTAATTTTGAAACTTCAATAACCTTCGTGGATCTGCCCACTTAGTGATAAAGTGCTTGCTAAGTTTGCTAGCATCTGCGATTTGATTCTCTACCTGACTTTTCTTGCCATATTTGAGTCTTAATTTTTTCGGCTTTCAAAAAGTTATTTGGCGGCTTTTTTGATTTCGTACCATTTTTGTCGGTTTACTTGCCTTGTGTTTTATTTCTTTATATTTTGGTAGATTTCGTAAGTACCTTCTTTTTTCGTTTTCATGAGGGTAATTATAGTTTTTTTGCTTTCCTCGTTTTGTTACACAAAATTTCTGTGAGAAGACGAAAAAACTTTTTTTTGCAATAAAAAAAATTGAGTTTTTTAAAGAAATTTTTTGGAATACATGGCTTCTGGTTGTTTTTAACCTAAAATGCGAGGATCGTTTTTTTGTTGTTGTTTTAGGGCTGAGCAATGTTGAAATTGATTCAAGTTGATAGTATGGCGCTTGTTTTCAACTCGGCTTAGAAGTTTTTTCGTTTTGTACTTAGTCAGCTTAGCGACATCATATTGCATCGTTGGATGAGCCAAACAAGTTTCAGATGCGTGTGAGTTTTTGAAAGGTACTTAATTTTTTTAAAGTTTTGTAGCTCTACTCAATGATAAAAACCAAACATTCCGATGTTGAAATTGTTTATGCACACTAAGGAGAGTTTTTACCTGTGCTTTTATAAAAAAAATGAGATGTTGGAGTGGAAGTTATTTCGAGTTGAGAGTAAACTTCTTTAGGTTTTTCTTTCGTAGTCGTTAATTCGTATTTTCATTTTGTTGATTCGTTTAATGTTAATTCGTTAAATGAATACGTACGAATTTATCTAATAGAATTGCTGGTGAACTCAAACAAAAACTTCGGGGGATATTCTCATGATGAAGGGACCGAATGATAGATTTTTAAACCAGTCAGAATCAGTAGAAGTTCCTATTCGCTAAACGATTTTTGCACTTGATGTCAAAATTAGCAGC